AGTTTGTCAAGGATTTACAGCTGGATCTCGTCTGACTATAGTTGTTAAACGTGATCTTTAATTAATCTAGTCTCTATCTAACGACTCTTCTGTCTTTTGAATTTATCAGGTAACGTCACAGCATCAGTACACTGCTTCAATCTTTCGCTTTCACACTTGTACTTAGTGTTTTTATTGAAAACTTCAGATACTATTGGTTGGTTCCTGTTGATTGTGCACCTTTTATACCAACCAAGTTTGTTGACGCCATTATATTGACACAGATCACCTGCCTATTCATGCCAGAGTCCCACAGAAAAAGTGATTGACAGGTGGTAATTTGTGTGTAACTTATCTTTATTTATATATGATTTGGTGGTGGGTAAAACAAAGACGGGAGGCTACAAATAATTGATTAGTTTTAAATAAATTTTTCTTAAATAATTAATTCACTGCCGCCTACGACGATGATGCCATCATCCATCGCGATGTTTCACATTAGACATTGTACCATGCCAAATTAGTTGATATCACCCAACCCTAGTGTGCGAGTTGCACATTAGCCCCTTTTACACAAACAGACCTTTCCGGAAAATTACCGTCAATTTTCCAGAAAGGTCTGTATGTGTGAACAGGCCCTTTAAAGGGCCATGACACCCCCCAATTTTGGTTAAAGTCTACTTCAGAATTTTTTCAAAAGATGCATGATTAATGGGCGTGGAGCTCCGCGAGCATCGGGCAGGAGTGGGCGTGGCCAGCAGGAGAGAAGGGGAGCGAACGACTGTTGATGTCAGTTAGCTCACAAATTGAGACAAACCGTGAGGAGACGCATGAGTTTATAGTTTACAAAGTTAAAATGCAAAGAAATAAACAGTAATTTAATGCCCTGCTACATTTTATTCGTAATTTCATATACACAAAACCACAATTTATATCATTATAAATATAAGTGCGTTCATGTAAACACTATAAATGAGGATTCTCCCTCAATCCCCGTATCCAGCAGACTAAGTGCAGCAGGTCTCCTGACCTGTCTATTTTAACCATTAGCCCTGCTGGTAATCTGGAGGATTTAGGCAAACACAGCCGCACAGTGATGTGTCTGAATGTGAACAAACTCCTGATAAAAGAGAGCGTCCGCCATTCTCTAATTCTCGTGCTGCTCTCCTGACAAAAATGCTAGCAGCACACACACAGCTTTGCTGTATGATCGGCCCTGACAGGATCACGGGGAAAAAGCATGCAACAAACCCCGTGGATCATGGAAACAAACGCATATGAGCCTTCATGAACGGCTAAATACTGCCATGGGTCCATCCGTGTCTCACAGCTCGGGCTTGACACTGGCAGGTCTGGCAGGTCTCATGAATAATTAAGCAGCTCTTCTCATAGGATAAGAAAACTCCGCTATGATTAATAATGAGAAACCGACGCGTCATCATTGCACTTGCAGTACTGCGCTACGTCGCCGATTTTGATCCCGCCCTAAAAATCATTTAAAACCCGGAAGCTGAAATTAGCTGACAAAAGCTCAAAATTATCCAGTTTTCCCCACAATTAAAGCTGACAGGTGCTAACATTGTCTTAACTGATGCTCAACACACACAAATCTGTTAAAATAAAATAAAAAGTTCTCCAGGGTGTCCTGAACCTTTAATATAAAATACTGGTAAATTTAGTTCCGGGTCAACTTTTTCGGTAATGTTACTGTAGTTTGTGTAATACAAGCTTCAGTCATTTTTGTATTTATTTAAATTACATCTAATTTATTAATAAAACACATTTAAGTGTTTAGGGTTTTAATTGATATTTAGTGTCTGACCGACAATATCCTCTGATTAGTTGTTTCAGAGGTGACTGTAGGTCAAACTATACATTATGCATTACGGTTTCATCGGTACTGTGGTAGTATCGTGATACTATGGCTCTAAAATACTTTCGGTGCCACTGTAGTTTGTAAACGGTAATATCGTCATTAACTTACTTTTGTTGGTCAGTTATCTACAAAATAAACACAAAGAACTAATACATTTTAGGTGAAGTGACGTGCAAATAGTTGTTTTTTTTTTGTTCAATAAATGGGGAATTATGAATTAAATCCAAGTAGACATTTAAAATATAGTATTTCTGACAATTTTCTTTATAATTTGAGTAGTATTGCAATACTATTTGCTATCGTGATACTTTAGCTGGTATAGTATCTTAAGATGAACTAATGGTATCGCGACAACCCTACTATGCATCTAATTTTACTGTATTTTAGGCCGTATGTTGACACCAACACAAATTTACCTTAAAGTGTCCTGTGAACACTTACGATGTCTACTAGTGCTCTAGATCTGCCAGTTCAAGCATTAATTAGGAAGGTCAATCACCTCTAAACCCCCTTGTAATTCGCACCCTAATTATAATGGCAAGGCAAGTTTATTTACTGTATATAGCACATTTCATACACAAGGGTAATTCAAAATGTTTTACATAAACGAGTAATAATACATGAGTAATAATACTTTAAACTCTATTCTGAATGTAACTGGGAGCCAGTGTAAAGACCTGAGGACAGGTGTGATGTGCTCTGATTTTCTGATTCTGGTCTGAATCCTGGCCGCAGCGTTCTGGATGAGCTGCAACTGTCTGACTGTATTTTTAGGAAGGTTTGCGTAAGGAGGCCGTTACAGTAATCCACCCAGCTGCTGATAAAAGCATGAACAAGTTTTACCAAGTCTTCACTGAAAACAAAGCATATAATTCTTGCAATATTTTAGAGATGATAGTATGCTGATTTACTGACTGCTTTGACATGACTGTTGAAACTCAGATCTGACTCCAGAGTCACACCAAGATTCTTGACCTTATTTTTTGTTATTTGAGCCCAAGAGTCGAGGTATGCATTCACCATTCACATCTCTCTCCTAATAACTTCAATCCTTAGATGGTTTTATTTGCTTATTATGGTGGCTTGAAAAGCAGACATACTGTTATCTCACTTCTTCTTCTTCTTCTTCTTCTGAGACTAATTTAAAGTGCATCTCCTCCTAACCCTTTCAAGTTACATACTTCAAACCTTTCGTCAAACCTTCAAACTGGTCTGACTCGTGTTGCTTTATCTTTTCTAACTGATTTGACTTTCGGTTTTCCGAAAAACGACCCGAAAAATTTCCAACTTAACATTGGGTCAAACTTTGTGACCTTATTACTCTGCATCAGACTGTCCTACAGACTTAATAAGGGCCTCATCTAAAGGCTGATTTATACTTCAGCATCAAATGCACGCATATGCTACGGCGTTGACGCATAGCCCTACGCGCATAGGTGCGCTGACGTGCACCTCTCTAAAATGTTACTACACGCCGCAACGACGCGTAGCGCAAGCTCTGTGATTGGTCGGCTTGGTAGCGCTGACAAGTCTGGGCAGGACTGAGAGCCCGATGGAGCGATTGTTTACAAGTGCGGAGTCCGTGAAGGAGCTCCAGATGAAAAGTTTTGTTTTGTGTTTACCTCATAGTTAAAGTTGTTGCACGTCCGCCGGTTCCTGCCTCAAAATGAGCGAGTTTGAGCCACTTGTACATTTAGGAAGTGTTCATGAAGAACAAAACAGCAGCAAAGAAACTCGACACACAGGAAAATGAACACCTCACTGCCAACTAGCGTTATAGAAGTGTTAATGCAGAACAACAGAAACAGCGCACAGAAGTATAAATGCACAGCTACGTGCGTTGCATGCGCCGTTGGTTACGCCGGTCACTTGACGCAGAAGTATAAACCAGGCTTAACTCAGACTAGCCAGCAGCCAACCACTGATGACCTTTAAACTTACTAGCCACTCCCCAGCAACCACTTATTGCACCCTAGCAACTGTCCCATAGACTTCTATTGTAAAAGACTGCCATTGACTTAACATAGTCAACCTTTGTGAGGTCATAACTTTGCATCAGACTGTCCTACACACTAGAGTCAGTCTGTTCCATAGAATATGACTAGCTATTTTAACACATGCTAATAGTTTTGACATGCTACTGACATGCTAATTTTGTTAGAAACATGCTAACATCATGCTAATTCATGCTAACAACATGCTAATTCATGCTAGAAACAAGCTGATTCATGCTAGAAACATGCTAACAACATGCTAAACCATGGTAGAATCATGCTAATTTGCTAATTCATGCTAGAATCATGCTAACAGCATGCTAATTCATGCTAGTAACATGCTAATTCAAGCTAGAATCATACTAACATGCTATTTACACTTTAAAACCACTTCAAACTTTTAGACTCAGCTATTTAAGCCACCATAAAGTTTGTCCTCAAACTTTAATAATCTAGTTGCTTTTTATCATTTAATGGTTAAAGTCTTCCATATCACTTGCTTTTGCCCACTTTGCTTTTTTTTTTTTTTTTTTTTTGAAGAAAAGGAAATGTGTTATTTTTGCATTCCACAGAAAAACATTGACACAATCTCTCTGCAGTTTGCAACTATTTTACATTTTGTGAGTTGTTTTCTTGTTTTATGCAAAGTTTGGTGCAGAAAATTGTCAGATCACAGTAAAAAAAACAAAACAAAAAAAAAAAACTACAATTTATTTTGAGCAAATGCATAGTTTTTGGAGACATGCAAATGTTTTCCTGGGGGCAAATTTATTGAAATGCTTTTGCGTTCTCAAAATACCAGCAGTTTAAGGCAATTTGTAACTATTTTACTTGTAGATTTTTTTTTATTAATAAGTGGCTAATTCGTTTGAATGTCTAAAATCTACTTGTCATAGGTTTAAAAATGGATCTTCTTGAGTATTTCTTGATTTTTCATTTTTCTCAAAAATCATACTTTCTCGATAGACTTACAAATATTCAGTGCAGGCTTGCAAAACTAGCAATAGAAACATGAATGCAAATGCTTAGCACATTTTTCAATGTATACAAGTAAAATAATTTGAATAAACACCAAAGTATTGCAGTATATATCCTACACACATTTTAGCAGATTTTCTTTTTACTCCCACATATATCAACACTGAATTTAACACGCTTTCAAAGACATTTATTAACATTTGACCAAAAAGTATCAGAGTACAGTCGTGTCATAAATATTAATAACCCAATCGATATATGTAGAAATGGAATCATTCATTATTTAGAGAATAAATTATGATTAAAAAAAAAAAACACACACATCACTTCCCCATTCCTCTGGAACATCAGGTGTCAGTCCACCCAAGAATCGTCCAATCACTGTCCCCCAAACAGCAGGAAGTGTCCTGTTCGGTCAGTTTCACCACTTGATTGGCTGAGTGAGTGATTGACAGCTGGGTGACTCCGGTCAGAGCGGGTTCCCACCAGATTGACCTGATTCGTTGGAGTCACCGGCACAGTGAGAGTGAGAGCTCACTGTGATTGGCTGAGATTGATCACATGGTGTCAAAAGAAACGTTCCTGCGCCTGATGCGGCCAGTGATTGGAGAGAAATGAAATGTACGATAATATTAAAAAACGAAGTAGTCACTGTGGTAAAAGACGAATGTTTTGAAGCATTTATTAAGCGTAACAGTCGTTCACACCTTCAAACGTTCAGAGATCTGGAGGATGTTTAATCTACAGCTAAACATTGGTGGTGAGGCACGGTGAGTACATTCACACTGCTTTTACAGGTGAGAATAATGCATGTATGCTGGTCAAATGTGTGTGTTAGTGTTTAACATCTATTTGTGCTGCGATTCTTTCATGCGAGTGTATTTAGTGAGGTTGGAAGCCCTTGGCCAGATCCTCCATGACGCTCATGAATTTCTGATCTTCCAGCTGTGAGCTGTGTGTCCAAGCCAGAGGAAGATGAGCCGACACCATCTTCCGATCTAATGCACGTAAAACACACAAACAAAGCACTGATGTTAGGTAATGCATTTGTCTGAAGCCTCATGTCTGATTGCTTTCAGATTCCTGTTGAAGAACTGCATTACCCATCATCCCGATCAGGATAATGCAGTGAGCATGAGCTTCTGTCGACTTTATGAGGGTATATGAGTGTGCACATGAATCCATATTGAAAAATCAACTTGCATCTGAGTGTGACCAAAGAGCTTAGAATCACCGAGAGGCGGCACTCACTGGCCATTATTGATTATTAAAACTGACATTCAGCTTAACAGTTTCGTATTTTCAATGAGAATGGAAGGAGGCAGTGACGTTATAGGCTCTGTTTTGTTAAAAATATGCATACAGTGAAGATGACGCTCATATAAATGTTTAGCTACATGACGCCTCAACATTTCTGCTGTCTGTTAAGTTGCTGATATCAAAATGAAAATAGCACTTCCTTAAATCATGTTTTCATTTTATTGTTAAGTGAAACAACGTAGTCAGGATTATCTGAATGAGGCTATAAAATACACGGTTCCCTTTAAAGATTTACCCGACGTGTCCTCGGGAGTTTGTTTTCCATATTAAACTTGTGAAGTCTGAACTTAAAAGGAGAGGATGCAGGACTGAACTGTGTGTAGGCTAACTAATATTAAGGAAAAGCCCCAATCAGAGAGGCGAATGTCTGCAGCCCCGCCTCCGTTTCAGACGTCTCCGTTTTCCCCCCATCCACACTGAGACAGAGCAGCAGTGTTTTAGAATGAAAACGGCCTCTCCGGTGTTTTAAAAACGATCGGTTTTTGGCGCTCAGAAACTCTGGCGTAGTGTGGACGGTTGGCAATAACCGTAGCAAAACTTCTCCGTTTTAAAACTAAAACGTATTAGTGTAAACGGGGCCTCAGTTTGAAGGGCGGTATGGCCCTTTCATTTATCTCTTCACCACCAGCAAAAAATAATTTGGACACCATTTTAAGGGGTATGGTCTTAGGCAGGGTCACCAATCTTGGTGCTAGAGAGCCAGTATCCCTATAGAGTTTAACTTGCCTCAACACCAAGGCTAGAGTGGGACTCCTTTTCAGCCCTGGAGTTTCAAGCCTTAGACGAGCCCGCCTCGGTTCACGACTGACTATATTAAAATAACAACATTTCCAGATCAGTTTTTAATGACACTATCATGTCTTTTTCAAGGACACAGCTGCTTTAAAACTTCAAATGTTTTTCATAACATTAATTCTTTAAAGATATCCAGTCCTATCATATGTACCCCGACATAAGTAACCTAAACAGTATTATAAGTCTTAACACTAAAAATGAAAAAAAATATAACAATTTACTCCGGTGAGGTTCGAACTTGGGTGGGCGGCGCTGTAACGCAATGTGCTGACCACTAGACCACGATGGCACTGTCAAGCTGATGCATTCACGATAAAGAGTAAGTATTGCACTGTTATCTGCTGCTATTGATGGCTTGATCTTTTCCTCCCTTTTTTAGATTTCTGATCAAGTTATGTCAGATTTATGAATGTAGTGAAGCATCTGATTTTCATTGAGCAGGTGTAATATTCATCAATATTAATTATTTGAGTTCCTATATTCACTAAATTGCTGCTTTTATAGTTTGCTCACGGGGCAGCGAGAAAATAAATAAAAAAAGCGGAGCTGCGGCAAAATAATAAATAAAAGAGCGAGGCTATAGTCAAATAAGCAAATAAATTAACAAAGTGCGACTGCTGAGAGTGCAAGCAGCTAGGGACACCGGCCCTCGCGGGCAAAAAACGGACTGGCCCACCTGGAATTCATCCGGGCCTGCTCAACACACCTGCCTGGAGGTTTCAAATATACCTAGTAAGACTTTGATTAGCTTGTTCAGGTGTGTTTAACTAAGGTTATAGCTAAACTCTGCAGGACACCGGCCCTCCAGGAACAAGTTTGGTGACCCCAAAGTGGTAGAACTGGAATTGGGCCTAACAGCAGCCGTAGTCATTGGCTTGCATGTTATGAATCACCTCACAGTTTCCGCTAGAAGAAATCTTCTTTAATGTTCTACTGCTGTTGTCTGATGGTTTCCTAGATCTTAAGGTCATTTGAGTCACTGGCTGTGTCTGGCACAGAAGCTCCGCCCACTGCAGCTGCACTGGAGCTCCGCCAACACACACACACACACATTCACACACTCCAGTTTTTCATCTCTCGCTCCTTCATTCTCTCTTTCAGTTTCACTGTCGTGTCTCTTCTTCCTTTGTACACTCTTTGTCTTCTCTCAAACGCTCCTGAGTTTTTCCTCCATCAGCGTCTTTCATCCGATCTTTGTCTCTTGAATGGCTCACTTGTTTTATATTGAAACAGATGGATGTCTTATTAAAGGGGATGGTGAGAAGGATGCTATTTAGTTTTCAAAACCTAGTGTACTGCCCTACATAGGCTGCCTTCTGAGGGAGTGAAAATCGCTTTATGAATCCTAAACAAATGATTCTTCATCTAAATGTTACGAATAATATTTTTGTAATAATTAAACTTTTGTTACACTGAGTTATATTTTAGCGGGTGTTTTCTAAATTTAATTTACAGTTACTGTACAATGCTGCCTATGTGTGTGTGCGCATTTGGTAATCATGACAGAAGCGTTTGATGTGGTTCTTGGTGTGTGTGTGTGTTTGGAGTTTATTTGCTAATCATGAGTTCACTTGGGGTTATTTATTCAATATATATATATATATATATATATATATTCTTTCAATATATTTATGGGGTAGTGTGTGTGTGTGTGTGTGTGTGTGCGCGCTTTTGCTAATCATAATAGAAGTCTTCAATAGGGTTCTTGCCATGTGTGTATTTGCTTATCATGATAGGAGCTTTCACTTGGGTTCTGTGTGTGTGTGCGTGTTTCCCAGTGATGGGTTGCAGCTGGAAGGGCATCCACTGCGTAAAAACGTTCTGGATAGGTTGGCGGTTCATTCCGCTGTGGCGACCCCGAATTAATAAAGGGACTACGCCGACAAGAAAATGAGTGAATGAATATATGGGGTACTGTGTGTGTGTGTATGTATTTGCTGATCATGATGGAAGTGATCAATAGGGTTCTTGTCATGTGTGTATTTGCTAATCATGATAGAAGCTTGCACTTGGGTTCTTGCCATGTCTGTGTGTGTGTGTGTAATTGTGTGTGTTTGCTAATCATGATAGAAGCATCCTCTGGAAGCATTCTCCGTGTGTGTCTGTCTATGTGTGCACTCACCCTGATAGAAGCGTCCGCTGGGGTTTTTGGCAGCCGCTTCAGACACGGCGAGCCACACCACTGTATCTGCTCCTTGCTCTGGTGTCCTCAAACGCTCCTTCATTGAGCTGTGGAAATCAGGCATCGCATTCGCAATAGCTGAAGAATGGGAGATCAAAACATTTAGACTTCAGATCAACAGTGCATTCAGGCTATGAACGTTGAAACCTGTTATTTCACAGACAACAAGCTCCGTTTAACATCGAGCAGATTATTTAATGAAAATGGTACGTGCCAACTATCTTAAATGTTAATTTTGTTTTTTTTTTTTGCATTCAGATTTATGATGTATATGTGTGTGTAATTACTCGGCGTGTCGACCCATCCAGGGTGCATGACAGAGAAGTGGATGCTGGGATGAGCTTTAGCGAACTGCTCCGTCATCACCACCTGCTGCCTCTGAAACACACAAAGTAGATACTAAAGTCACCTCTGTGTTACTGAAGTGTTGAATAGACACTAAAACAAAAGTCATTTATAACTGTTTACAATAATTTTACCTTTATTCGTTTTGCAGATCTTTTTATCCAAATGGACTTACAAGTGAGGATAAAAGAAGCACTTTATCAGTGTATAAATGCTTCAACAAGTCAAGTTAATAAATCAGAAGAGAGTGTGTCCTACAAGTGGGTTGTCAAGCCCACTCTCCTATGCGGATCACATTTAGAAGTGGTCAAGAATTATAAAGGTGTCTAGTGTATATGTAGAGGAAAAGAGGGTCTCCTACAGGTGGTTTGTAAAGACCACTCACCTGCATGAGGCACACTAAAAATCTAAACTACTGCTCAAATGTTATATAAATATTACTGAGATACTGCTCTAGTTTATAAATGAAAAGACTCAATTATTAATTTGAAAGTTAATTTTTGTGTGTGTTTTCTTTTTTACATGTCTATCTCTCTACATTCTTTTTTTAAATTGATTTTTATTTAAGTTCTAACTGGTTCTTTTAGCACACCACGGTAATCATAAGAAAAATACATGTTTATTTAGGCCCCGTTTACACTAGTGCTTTAGTTTTAAAGCGGCGTTTTAGATCAAAAACGATCCGCGTCCACTAGCGTTTCACCTAGCATCTCTGAACATATCTCCGTCCACACTACGCCACCAAAAACGTATATCACGTGACCATTCGCGCACTCTGGACATGCACGTTTTAGTATAAACAGAAAGCATGCGTCTTGCTCGGCATTTGGTTATTGTTAGTCAACAAACGCCAGTTGAACAATGAACGCGATGGCAAAGAAAGCAAGAGAGGTATTTTTGTGGACAGACGACGAGGTTGAGTTGTTACTAAACATAACAAATGAATAACTGCACAATGGTGCCTAAAACAGACAATAGTGCAAACAACGCTCCCATTTCTGTGCCCATGTTGTTGTTTACAGTGAAGGCTGGTCTGCTGTTTTCCGGTAGCGTTAAAGTCATGTTTTATAGTCATGTGCGAATAAGGGAAGGATACGCAATGACACAAAAGCCCCAATCAGCTAGCAAATCTCGGCAGCACCGCCTCCGTTTTCAGATGTCTCCGTTTTCCCTCATCCAAACTGAGACGGAGCAGCAGCGTTTTAGAATGAAAACGGCCTGTCCATCGTTTCCAAAACGTGATGGTGTAACCGTAGCAAAACTTATGCGTTTTCAAACTAAAACACAGTAGTGTAAACGGGGCCTTAGAAACTATCTGAAGGGAAAAATACACACACACACACACACATATACACTCACTGTCCACTTTATTAGGTACACCTGTCCAACTGCTCTTTAATGCAAATTTCTAATCAGCCAATCACATGGCAGCAACTCAATGCATTTAGGCATGTAGACATGTTCAAGACCAGGGGTCACCAATCTCGGTCCTGGAGGGCCGGTGTCCCTGTAGGGTTTAGCTCCAACTTTCCTCAACATACCTGCCTGGATGTTTCAAGTATACCTAGTAAGACCTTGATTAGCTTGTTCAGGTGTGTTTGATTAGGGTTGGAGCAAAAATCTGCAGGACACCGGCCCTCCAGGAACAAGTTTGGTGACCACTGGTCAAGAGGATCTGCTGCAGTTTAAACTGAGCATCAGAATGGGAAAGAAAGGTGATTTAAATGACTTTAAATGTGGCATGGTTGTTGGTGCCAGACGGGCTGGTCTGAGTGTTTCAGAAACTGCTGATCTACTGCAATTTTTTTTTTCACGCACAACAATCTCTAGGGTTTACAGAGAATGGCCTGTAAAAGAGAAAATATCCAGTGAGCGGCAGTTCTGTGGGTGCAAATGAGACTAAGCCCTAGTAAGGTGACTTGCCCCTGGGCTTGCCTGCTGTGACCAGAGACCTTGCAAGGGGGTGGCAAAGGGGGCCCACTATGTCTTAGACCAAGCCCATGGAAGGGTACTGGCCCCTGGGCCGGCTTGCTTTGGCCAAAGACTCTGCTAGGGGATGCCAAAAGGGGCTCTCCAGGTCTGAGACTATGCCCAGGGAAGGTGACTGGACCCCGGGCAGGCTTGCTGTGGCCAGAGACCTTGGAAGGGGGTGGGAACGGGGGCCCTCCAGGGCTGAGACTAAGCCCAGGGGAGGTTGACTGGCCTCCAGGCCCACTCACTAGCCGCATTTCCACTATCGGGCCAGTGCGAGCCAGGGCTTTAATCGGGCCGGGGCGGGCCAATAGCCCGGGAGGTTGAGAAATGAGGCTGAAATCATGTCACGTTTCCACTGTCGGGCTAAAGCTCACAGCGCGTCACGCAAACACCGCCCACAGAACGTCCCCGAATCAAACGTCACACAACCCGCCCACTTCAGCGGGAATGAGGCAGATAAAGCACACCATAGAATCATCACGAAACGAAACCATTAAAATGAAGACAACCGAAACAAACAAACGACACGTTACTGTACAGCAGTACATTATATGTCTATACGCACAGACCTGTGTATTTCCATTCATTACATTTGTTTACTCGCCGACCGACTGCATTGTGCATGGAGTGCTCTCGCCACTAACGCAGGGACCCAACACAGAGAGCGCACACATTCATAATATAAAGCCACAGAAATTCTCCGTTATAACTCGATATGGCATGTATTTTTTAACATCCTTGTGTTGATAGAAGTCGTGTTAAGTTTTCAGCACAAGAGCGAGTAGCCTAATAAAATATAGCCATATTTGTTGGGCTCGGCAGCTATTCACTAAAACTCCTCATTTAAAGTTTCATTTATAAATTTAACCACGTCATATAAAAACATAAACAGTTGTTTGAGGATTTGTGGACTTTCCCCCATATGCGTTTAAAGCAGCGAGTGCTGCGCAGGACTGAGTGACAGAAAAAAAGGTATAGGAGATTCTGCTTTCACTCACCCAAATAATGCTCTGTTTGCGCGATTTGATTAATATCATCGTATCCAAATACTTTATAAATATTTACTTATATAAATATTTACTTTATATAAATATTTTAAACCTTCTCCGGTGTTTATTGTTTTTAAAAAATATCGAAAATCTTTTTTTTTTCAGACAGGTCTTTGCAAAATGAAAGTTAGGCTATATGTGGCTTTAAAACGGTTTGATTTATGTATTGTATATAGGCTACCTACATTGTTATAGTTAGCTTTTGTTTATTTTATATTGGTTAATTTATTTAATGTGATTTTATATATATCCGATATTTGTAATTCTTTAAATTATATTTCAATATACCTTAGGCTATTTTATCAAGATATGACAATATATTGTTTAAAGTCTACGAAAGTGGGCACATATTTTGTTAAGTTTATGTCTTTCTGTTGTATTTATATGTGTATTCTCTCCTAAATAAATAAATAAAAAAGCCGCTCGCGGCATAACAGAGCTGTGAAGGAGCGCTTTTGCCCGGTCTCGCACACACATACAGGCATCTAAACGTGCACAAACAAACAAACAAACATTTTAAACTTGACAAAAACTCTCGAAAACCTTTACTGTCTGATGTGTTTTTAATATGGTGTAAAGATTATTATGCGTTATTGAAACATAAAGGAGGACGCAGCAAAGAACGTCACTATAAATTAAAACTACTTTATTATTTTATGCAGCAGCCTTTCATTTAAAAGGGAAACATAAGGGTGATCATACGCAAAAAGACCCCAGACTATAAGGCTAAATGTTTTCTTTCCCTTATTTCTTTATTTGTTTGGCGCATGTACTCATGTGCGATCAGAAAACTGTCCGCCTCTCCTTTCACTCCGCCCCGAAGCCCCAGCTGGCCCTCCTTGGCCCAAGGTATTCAGTGGGCCGAAAAAGGCCGGCCGCTGGCCCCAAGAAAGCCCCGCTTTGGCCCGATTAGGCCCCGGAAGTGACAGTGGAAACCCCACTGGCCTTGGCTCGCCCTGGCTCGCTCGCTTTAGGCGCGATAGCGGAAACGCGGCTACTGTGGCCAGAAACCCTGGAAATGGGTGGGAAAGGGGGTCCTCCAGAGCTGAGACTAAGCCCAGAGAAAGTGACTGGCCCTCGAGCCGGCATGCTGTGGCTAAAGACCCTGCAAGGGGCTGGCAAAATTGGCCCTCCAGGGCTGAGACTAAGCCCAGAGAAGGTGACTGGCCCCCGGGCCAGCTTGCTTTGGCCAGAGACCTTGGAAGCGTGTGGGAAATGGGGCCCTAAAGGGCTGAGACTAAGTCCAGGGAAGGTGACTAGCCCCCGAGCTTGCTTACTGTGGCCAGAGACCCTAGAAGTGAGCGAGAAAGGGGGCCCTCCATGGCTGAGACTAAACCCAGGGAAGGTGACTGGACCCCCGGGCAGGCTTGCTGTGGCCAGAAACCAAGACATGTCTAACATTATATATATATTCTGTTCTATACTATTGAACATTTCTGAATAAATCTTGAATATTAAAATGCATCATGTTTTCCAACTCTGATAATAATCAGAAATGTTGACTAAGCACCAAATCATCATATTGTAATTATTTCTGAAGGATCGTGTGACACTAAGCAATAAACTAATGACACTGGAGTAATTTCAGCTTCATAATATTAATATAATACTTAAATATTGAAATATAGTGTTCTTTTTTTTAATTGTAATAACATATAGTTTTTTACTGTATTGATGTCAGATGTTCAAAAAAGGTATCAAAAGGCATCAGATCTTGCAATATTTCTGTATGTGTGGATCTATGTTTTGACTCTGCATGTTTGCATATAGGCCTACCTTGTTCTGCGCGTACACCATAGTGCCGTCGTATCTGCCTCTCTGCGACTGCAAGTTTCCAGTGCGCAGTTTCTGCACCAGCATTCCGCCAGAGGAGACGGTGATCTGCAAAAGGAGAGAGATGTTGACTCGACCTGTCTGACCTTAATCTCTGCTGGCTGAATCTGCTTTACTCACCACACGTGGGTCAGGACTCTTCTCCAGCAGAGGAATCAGACTCTTGATGAAGATGAACACCGCTGGACGACACACACAGATCAGATGGTGAGGTGTTGAAGTGTGAATAAAATCTAAATGTACTCTTTTTATTTTTGTATGATTATAGTGATGCTTGTTATCAATGATATACAGCACTATGCACAAGTCCTAAGCATAATATATAATCCTTGGCAAAATATATAAACAATCAAGTCTCTTTATGTTTATATAATATATCCAGTCTCTTCATGTTTAATGTGGCTTCCCTTGGCACTGTTTTGTTCTAATTGTCCTGACATTGTCTGAAATAATGTGCAGTGTAATATCAGGCTTGTTTTAGCACTTTCCAGAGTTCTTCTTTAGGTTTAGAGTGTCTTTCTATTTCTGTCCAGTTGATGTCATGCAGCCTCTATAATATTCAGGTCTGGACACTGTGAAGGCCATTTCATGACTGTCTGCTTCACTTTTTCCACATGTTTTTATGTTACAGCCTTATTCCAAAATGGATTAAATTTAATTATTTCCTCAATTCTACACACAATACCCCATAATGACAATGCTCAATAGTTTGTTGATGCACCTTTGGCAGCGATTACAGCCTCAATTCTTTTTTGAATATGATGCCACAAGCTCGGCACACCTGTCTTTAAGAGTTTTTGCCTATTCCTCTTTGCAGTACCTCTCAAGCTCTATCAGGTTGGATGGGAAGCGCTGGTGTACAGCCATTTTCAGATCTCTCCAGAGATGTTCAATAGGATTTAGGTCTGGGCTCTGGCTGGGCCACTCAAGGACATTCACCGAGTTGTTGTGAAGCCACTCCATTGATATTTTGGCAGTGTGCTTTGGGTCATTGTCCTGCTGGAAGATGAACCGCCGCACCAGTCTGAGGTCAAGAGCACTCTGAAGCAGGTTTTCATTTAGGATGTCTCTGTACATTGCTGCATTCATCTTTCCCTCCGCTGCTGAAAAACATCCCCACGGTATGATGCTGCCACCACCATGCTTCACTGTTGGGCTGCTATTAGCCTGGTGATGAGCGGTGCCTGGTTTTCTCCAAACGTAACGCCTGGCATTCACTCCAAAGAGTTCAAGTTTAGTCTCATCAGAACAGAGAATTTAGTTTCTTATGGTCTGAGAGTCCTTCAGATGCCTTTTGGTACATTCCAGGCGGGAGTGGCTTCCGTCTTGCCACTCTACCATGTGACAATACAGAAACTTTCTGTACTGCCCCTATTTTGTGTTTACTTCCTTTGTCACTGCCTTTTATAATGAGTTCAACCCCATTGGATGCTACAACCAATTACAATGATGGGAAATTATATAAAAGGGTTTTTTTCTTTTTTCTGAGAGAGAGAGTTCTGACCTCCAGTGTGGGAGTGGTGTTTGCGTCACCAAGTTGCGTTGCGGGTGTGGCTCTGCCTGGGTCTGAGGAAGCTGAGGAAGAGATGCGGCGATGCTCAAGTTTTCACTGACTTGTCCTTTATAGCCACCGTAACAACAAGTTTCCTGGTAATTGCTGACGAGTGCCAGTCTTATGTTACCTTCGTGTTGAAAAATTACCGGTGCGATGTGTTAGGACACCTCCGAAAACGGCTGCCTGTTCATAATTTCTGTCCGTTCTGCCAAGTCACCTGCCAGCCAGTGAACTGCTGACGTGTAACCTCCTGACATCACCACTGCAAGCCTCTTGGGTCAGTTTCACTCATACACTTACATACATACATTCTCCACCCAACCTCCCTTTATTTTCATTTAATTAGTTATTTGAGAAATTTGAAAAGTTTTGTTTATTTATTTCTTGGTGTATTTGTTGTTGTTTTTTGAGGGGAATATTGTTTTGGGTCACTTAAAATGATTGTAGGATATTGACTATATAAATATTTATTTTTTGGTATTGTTGTTACTTGTAGTTGTATTTGCCATTTAAATTAGTTCATTAAATCTTTCTAAGTGGAATTCGATTTTCTTGTTCTTATTTCGTATGGTTCTATGTTACTGTATGTAACGGAGGGTCTTGTATAAGTTTTGTTTTCGCTATCCTGGGTAATTAATTATAGTTAGATTTATTTGTGGCAAGGTTTAAAACTTGTCTGGCACCCGAAATCATGCATAAAATTTGTTAATATATGTATGTTATATTATAATATATTTTATTTTTTTTTGCCCGAGGGTGACTGCGTTAGAGGGAGATATTACCAGACGCACCGCCCCAACAGCGCCTTCTGTGGTTCAGTGGTAGAAATCTCGCCTGCCATGCGGGAGGCCCGGGTTCGAATCTAACCTAAGAGTTATTAATTAAAAATTTTTTTTTTGTGTGTGTGACCACCGTTACAGAAATGGCACCCGAACAGGG